CTCACCCATTTGTCTTTTGGTAGTTACTGCCTACACCCGACAGGGTTGAACTCCACTGGTCACGTCTTCTCAACTAGAACTCCGAGAATTTCCTCACGAAGCTAGTCACTAGTGAGCACTGTTATATTATATTGGGGCAGAGTTTTGGAGGTTTGCGTTTTTACACATTTGAAATCATTAATCAATCATCATTGTTAGACCACCATTAGAAACGTGGAAGCACTGGATGGTCGTCAAGTCCTAGTATGGGACTCATCAGCAGCAAGCATCCAAGACTCCTGCTCATCGCAGGAATCGAACCCGGTACCTTTGGCATTGTAGGCGAACGCCTTACCATCGGACCACTGGGCCGGCATCCAACGGTGTTAATGTCCAACTCTGATTGATCTAGGGATTTTGCGCTATCTCACCCATTTTTCTTTGGTAGTTACTGCCTACACCCGACAGGGTTGAACTCCACTGGTCACGTCTTCTCAACTAGAACTCCGAGAATTTCCTCACGAAGCTAGTCACTAGTGAGCACTGTTACATTATATTGGGGCACAGTTTTGGAGGTTTGCGTTTTTACACATTTGAAATCATTAATCAATCATCATTGTTAGACCACCATTAGAAACCTGGAAGCACTGGACGGCCGTTTCGTCCTAGTATGGGACTCCTCAGCAGTGCGCATCCACGACTCCTGCTCCTCGCAGGATTCGAACCCGGGACCTTTGGCATTGTAGGCGAACGCCTTACCATCGGACCACTGGGCCGGCATCCAACGGTGTTAATGTCTAACTCTGATTGATCTAGGGATTTTGCGCGACCTCACCCATTTGTCTTTGGTAGTTACTGCCTACACCCGACAGGGTTGAACTCCACTTGGTCACGTCTTCTCAACTAGAACTCCGAGAATTTCCTCACGAAGCTAGTCACTAGTGAGCACTGTTACGATATATTGGGGCAGAGTTTTTTGGAGGTTTGCGTTTTTACACATTTGAAATCATTAATCAATCATCATTGTTAGACCACCATTAGAAACCTGGAAGCACTGGACGGCCGTCTCGTCCTAGTATGGGACTCCTCAGCAGTGCGCATCCACGACTCCTGCTCCTCGCACGATTCGAACCCGGGACCTTTGGCATTGTAGGCGAACGCCTTACCATCGGACCACTGGGCCGGCATCCAACGGTGTTAATGTCTAACTCTGATTGATCTAGGGATTTTGCGCGACCTCACCCATTTGTCTTTTGGTAGTTACTGCCTACACCCGACAGGGTTGAA